CCATGGGAACCATGGAGGATCCCATGAGGAGAGCAGGCCAGGGGCCTCGAGGCGCACATGGAGAGTGGCTGGAGGCAGCAGGGTCCAGTGGCTGGTCCAGTGGCAGCCGAGGACCGAGGGGGAGGGACAGAGGACCCTGGAGCAGGTGAGGGGTGGCAGCCGTGAGCACGCCGGGCCAGGAGTCTGCCGTGTACTGAGGGGGCTGCTCAGGCCCCAGCATGAGCCACTTTGCAGCTCAGGTGAAGATGCCAGGGGGAGACACAGTGGGGTGAGCAGCCAGGAAGCTCCTCCAGGGCCTCCGGCTCAGCAAAGGCAGGCCCTCCTGGGGCTCACATTCAAGCCCAGGGTCAGCTCCGGCCCCCCACCCGGCCCCGCGTCCTCTTCACTCAGCAGGTGGTCGGGGGGCAGGAGCGCTCCTGAGAGGGTGCTCGGGGAGGGCCTCCCGAGGGGCACCCGGACGCCCGCAGGGTCAGCGGTCCCAATCCAGGCAGAGGCAGCCAGCGCCCAGGCCTTCAGGCAGGGACACCACGCGTGTGCTCAGCCAGCCCCGGGCCAAGCCATCACGAGGAATCTGCTTGTCTGTAGGGGGCAGGGCATGGCCTATGTTTCAGAAGACCACCTGGCCTCCAAGCGGCAGTCAGGAGTGGGGATACGCGGGGACCCACCAGGAGGGCAGCGTGCCCCACCCCCACTCTGCCCCGCAGAACCCTCACATAACTCGTTTCCTCGATGACACTAACTGGATGGCCTAAAAGACTATAGAAATTCATTCTCGCCCAGTCCCGGAGACCAGAGGCCTGCAGTCAGCTTCACTGGGCTAAAACCAAGGTGTCCAGGGCCAGGCTCCTTCCAGAGGCTCCAGGAGAGGGTCCTTCCTTCCTCGTCCAGCTTCTGGGGCTCCTGGCTTGTGGCCGCGTCCCCCCAGTCTCTGCCCCACCCTCACGCGGACTCTCCTCTGCCTCCTTCCCCTGTCCTGTCCTTGGGTCTGGGCCCTCCCTAAATCCAGGACGGTCTCATCTCCAGACCCTTCACTTCATGACATCTAAGACCCTTTGCCCAAACCAGGGCACATTCGAGGACTCTGGGGCTTAGAACTGGACGCGTCTTTCTGGGAAGGACACTATTCAACCCACCAGCCCACCGCCACGGGGGTCCCCAATGTCCCTGAGTGTCAGGGGCCTCTGATCTCACCCCCACGTGGACCCTCCCACCCGTGGCAGCCCCACTCCCAGCCCGAGACGCCCAGGCTTTCACCCTCCTCCCGGGAGACGCCACCCTCACCTCCTCCAGGCCCACACTCCGGAGTCACTCTCTCCTGAAAATCACCGCAGTTTCTGCCTCCATGACGCCGAGCCTGGGGCGCAGCTTGTGGGCATGAATGGAGGAATGAGTGGATGAATGGAGGCTGAGGGGTGCGCTGAGAGTTTGCAGAGCAGGCGGAGGGGCAGGAAGGGGAGATTGGGGCACCTGGGACCTGGCTGGGCCCAGCCAAGAGGGGTGGGGGCAGCGAGGGCAGTGGGCCAACGCTGGGGCTACTCAGGAGGGCCGCCGGAGCAGGGCTGGCTGTGCCCAGGGCTGCCCAGCAGAGGGAGGTTGCAAGGGTCTTGGGGGAAGCGGGGTGCGGGCAGAAGCAGGGGTGACTCAGCTGCAGTGGGTGAGCAGGCTGGCCTGACCGGAGCTGGGGGGGAAGGGAGACCCTGGACCCAGAAACCCGAGGGTCCGGGGAGGGGCACCGCACTGGGCTGCATGCACAGGGCTGATGGGAGACAAACTCTGAGCTTGTCTCAGGGGCAGGCAGAGCTGGGCAGAGGGTCCCAAGCTGGGCCCACACCCCAACCCCAGCTCACGGTGCCCCTTATCCAGCACAGTCTCTCCCATCATTCTTGATCCCACCTCCTTCAGGCAGCTCCCCACCCCAACGCTGAGCTCTCAGTGGGCATGGGCAGCGTGGCCACCCTGGGAACACCCCTCGAGACCCCCGAGGCCACAGCCCAGCACCAGGCCAAGTGGTAAGTATCAGAGAGGGAGTGATTGGTTTACAGGCAAGGTGTCTGCTACCCAGATGGGGCAGAGAGCCTTGGGTGCCCACTGGCAGACCTGCTGACCGAGGGTGCCAGGGTACATAAGGTGGGGGGTGGTGGGCAGCCCTCGAGCATTTCTAGGCCAGCCTCACTGTCGTCCGAGCAGCATGGGTACTTAGAAGTCAGAGGGTCTGCGAAGTGGGGCAGGGCTGAGCAGCGGAGGGCTTCTCAGTCTTGGGGGCTCCTTTCTGCTCACGCAGGTGGGCACGCAGGTGATGAGAGTCCCCAGGTGTGAGTGGCCCCGAGTCCCCATCTCTGGCACCAGCAACAGTCTCCAGAAGCTTCCAGAGCCTGGCCAACCCCCATGCCCTGTCCCCCGAGGTTGGGAGAGCTCCCTGGGGTTGACTAACAGTGAAGGCTCTTTGCTCCTCATCAGTGAGCTCCTGCAAAAGCCCCCAGGACCCTGCCCACCCCTGGACTCCGAGGACCTGAACCTTGAGATGGCCCCGGAGCCCCCCTCCCAACTGCTGAGGGCAGCAGGCCGTCCAGCTGTTCTCCCCACACCCCATCACCGTGAGGGCCCAGAGGAGGTACCCCCCTCCCAGGGTCTCCCTGCCTCCTCTTCCCACCTACCCCACCCCCTCCCCAGGGCTCAGACTCCCCCTCCCTTCCCCCACCAGGCACCCCAGCGAAAGAGCAGAGGACTCAGAAGAAATAATTTTAAATGCTTTATTGGGATGGCGAGCGATAAAGGTTAAAGACAAAACCCAGGCTGTGGATTCTGCCAGAAACAGCATGTTACGGGCAAGAGGAGGAGAACACGGCCGCGCGGTGGACGGGGCGGCGGGCACGATGACACTTGGTGTTCTGCGCGTGGGGGTCCTCGCGTGATGGCACAGAGACCCAAGAGGGGGTCCCGCTGAAGACGGCTAGGGGACTCGGGGAAGAGACAAGATGGAGGGCCACGAGCTGGGCGCGGAGGTCGGGAGGGGCCCGGGTCGGGATGGAGCTGACCCACGGAGAGCTGCCCGCTGTGTCTGGGGTGGACTGGCACAGCCGCCCCCTGGGCTGCGCCAGCCCCGTCACCGGGGCCCCGCGGCGTCGGGCCTCTAGCTCACTAGTCGGGCTGCCGTGCAGGGGGACTGCGCTGGGGGCAGAGGTGGGGGTGAGGTAAGCCCCCAGCCGCCCGGGTCCCTGCCGCAGCCCGAGGTGCCGAGAGTGGTGGCCGTGTCGTGTCACCAGACCCGAGGGCCTCGGGGCCCAAGCGACCCAGCGGTCAGAAAATTGCGCAGCTCTTCTGCTCTGCGGGGCCCGGCTCTTCCGGCCTCTCCTACCACCCGACCTCACCCCGCCTGGACGCCAGGAAGCCCTGCGGAGCTCCGAGCTTCCTGGGGGCAAGACGGGGCGCTGAGGAGGCGGGCAAGCTGTTCCCGAGGGGTACGGGGAGAGCCTCCCCAAGTGCGCGGAAGGCGGCCACCTGCTCCCGCCCGCTGGAGACCTTCACTCACACACCCACAGCCCCTTCCCCCCTGGCCAGCTGGGCCAGGGGCCCCACCTTGGTGGCCACCGAGCACCTTCCTGACACCTGGAGAGACGCCTCCCCGCCCCCTCCTCCGCCCCTCAGGACCCCCCGGGGACCAGCCACTGTCCCCCGGGGGGCCAGGCCGGGCAGCGGCCGTCTCCATTCCCCTGACTTCTCTGGGGGGCACAGTGGCCAGCACCCCCACAGAGGCTCCACTCTCCACTCAACCCAAGCGACAGGGACAGATTAAAAAAAAAATTAAAAAAAAGGCGATAAATGGCGGAGGGCAGGATGGCGGCAAGGCCGCGGGTGACGGTGGTGACTGTGTGTGTTCCTCGTCCTTGGTCACTGCCCCCCTGTTACGTGGGGTGGGTAAATGAGCGCGTAAAAAGCTAAGGAGGGATTAAAAAAAAAAAAAGGAAAGATGCCCCAGGAGTAATTAAAGAGGGGAGATAGATCAATGGGCGTCAATTTGGGTTCTAATTTCTGTCTGTAATTCTGCAAGAGCCTCGCTGTTCCTTCCCCCCCGAACGTTTCTCTCCGAAATCTTGCTGGACCGCTTCCTGCCTAGGAATGTCCCCCCACCCAGCCCCCACTGCCCCCCANATGGATGCATGTGAGTGTGTGTGTGTGTGTGTGTGCATGGATGCATGTGAGAGTGTGTGTGTGCGTTTGCATGGATGTGTGTGTGTGTGCGTGCATGGATGCATGTGAGAGAGTGTGTGTGTGTGTGTGTGCGTGCATGGATGCATGTGTGTGTGTGTGCGTGCATGGATGCATGTGAGTGTGTGTGTGTGTGTGTGTGTGTGCGTGCATGGATGCATGTGAGTGTGTGTGTGTGCGTTTGAATGGATGTGTGTGTGTGTGTGCATGGATGCATGTGAGAGTGTGTGTGTGTATGTGTGTGTGTGTGCGCGTGCATGGATGCATGTGAGAGTGTGGATGTATGTGAGTTTGCATGGATGTGTGTGTTGCGTGCATGGATGCGTGTGAATGTGTGTATGTGTGTGTGTGTGCAGGGTTGCGTGTGCTTTCTGAGGTAAGGATTGTGATGTCAGATTTTGGACTGTGGGGTTGTTTTGCCAATTCGATTTTATTTTATTTTTGCCAATTCAATTTTACCAGCGCGATGGGGGGTTTCTGTTCCGTGCTCCCCTCCTCTGGTCTTACGGGGTCCCCTCACTGCTCTATAATGGTCTCAGTGATGGAAACTTGGAGGAGGAGCGGGTTTGGGTCTTTGGTGTCACACTGCTGGTGCCCGGGGAGGGCCTGGCGGCGGCGGGGAGATGGCTGGCCAGCAGGGACAAGCCTACCTGCAAATTTGGCCCCTTCCTTTCTCTTCAATGATTAGATCAAAGCCAATTTAAGTCCAGATCCAAAAGGAATGAGAAGGAAGGGGGGGGGGGGCCGAATTCTTTTTTTTTGCCAATTGTTTTTAAGCCAATTTATTTTTAGTATTTTTTTCAGCCAATTGATTTTTTTTTTTTTTAGAAGTTTTTGGAAAGCTGGTTTGCTTTTCTGGTGTTGCTAAAAGGCCAATTCGTTTCAAGGGGGCTGATTGAGGGGTTCATGATTGCAATTTTGGTTGTATAATTTGGAGGTAATTTGGGGGGTGATAATTTGGGGGGATATTTAAAGCCAATTGGTTTTGTACATTTTTAGAGATGTTGTTCTGATCCCCTCGGCCAGGTGGAGGGGGCCGAGGGGGGTGTTGCCTGACGTGGGGAGGTTGGGGCACAGAGGCTGGGATAGGGGGGCCCGCAGACAGGATGGTACAGAGATTTCAGAGAGGGACTTAGTGGGGCGGTCCCGGCCAGGAGGACGGCGCGAGGTAGATGGTATCACTTGGCAGAATTACGACATTTGGCTCACTTCTAATCGCTGGATGCCTCCGAAGAGGCGCCCCCGTGGGTGGCAGGGTCCTGGGTGGGCAGAGTAATCAGCGGACGGTGACTCTTGGCCTCTCTGAGCGCCTCCAGCTTCTTGGCGAGCGTGCGACCCCGGCGTGCTCGCAGGAAGGCGGGCAGGCCCCTGCGCAAGCGCTGCGTGGACTGCTTCCAGGTGTCATATCGGAAGAACTTGCCCACGGGGTATGCGGTGAGGTCGTCCTGGGAGAGGAAGAGCAAGTCAGGGGCTGCCCAGGCCCCCGGGGGGCACGGGGGGCAACGCCCAAACTGCCCCAGGCGCCCGAGGTGTGCCGGCAGGTGTGACAGGCCAGTGCCAACGCCCCCAGAGGGGAGGGGGGGTGCAAAGGGCGCCCTGGCCACCCTCTCAGCTAAGCAGCTGGCTGCGCCCTGGTCCCCTGGCTCTGAGGTGACAGCCCCGCAGGGCTGCAGGGGGAGAGAGGGGAGGGTTCCCCTCGCAGGGGCTGGGCCGGAGCTGCGGGGCCATCTTACCGGAAGCACGGTCGTAGAGGCAGACACATCCCTCTCGGACTTGGCGGGGGTGGCACAGTAAGTCTCCAGGAGGGCCAGGTCGCAGCTTCGGAAGCAACACTCTTCCACGATGCCACGGCTGCGTCGGTTTATGCGGCTGGATGGTCGGCCTGGCGGTCCCCCAAGGAGGAAGGGAGGACAGGTCAGTGCCCGCCCCTGGCAGAGGCAGGGGTCCTCCGGCCAGCCCCCCGCCCCCACCCTCGGGACAGGACACCCAGTGGCCCTGCAAGGACAGCCAGCTGCAGCCTGGAGTGGAGGAAGGAAGCGAGAGGTGGGCCCCAGAAAGGAGAGAAGGGACAGTGAGCGTGAGTGACCAGAACCAGCCCCTGGCGTCTTGTGCCTCCTCCTCGAATGGCAGGGGGGTCCCGGCCCGAAGGCCGGCTGGGATGCAGGTGCACCCCTGCAGCAACCAGAAGCCGAGGCGCCCACGGCCCTAGAGACGCCCCCGCTGAGACCGGCAGGAATGGAAGAAGGAGAAGACGGGAGGAGAGGAGTGAGGAGCTGCACTGACCACGCCCTCCTTTCTTCCCGCCCTCCCCTCCCCCCACCGCAGGCTCCAGACTCGGCCACGTGAAGTCCCCGCCTTCCTTCCGCCGTCCGTGGGGGTGGGGGCGGGAAGGGAGCCCCCAGTAAGGGGTCCGGCTGCAGGGTCACACGGGCTGGGGGCTCAGCCCAGCCCGCCCGTCAGTGGGGCAAGCCTGTGCCAGGGTCGGCCGGCACTAGGTGCTGCGGTGCCACTTCCTGCCCCCAAGGGTGGCAGAGAGAGAGGCCAGGAGAGAAGCCAGGGCAGGCAGGGGCCTCGGAAGCATGGAGAAGCAGGTGTGCTTTTCAGAGCAAAGCGCTGACATGCCAAGACGGGCGTTTCCAGCCCATTTCAGAGTGTAGGTAAGTAAAAGCTGTGGAGGAAGATGCTTCGTGGAGGTGGTGGGCCGGGTTCGAGCCTTATGGCCCTCGCCCGGCTGCCCCAGCCATGTCCCCACCCCCTGCCCCCCGCCCCCCCACGGCCCCGAGAGGCGTTTGGCTGAGCTCAGGGAGTGCGCACGCCCCCCCTTGAGGGTCAGGCTGCCCCTGCTCTCCCATTTCTCCTGGAAACCAGGTGGACACTCTCCTGACGTATAAAGAACCGGAGGCCCAGACTATGGGGGGTGAGGGCAAGAGCCCACGCTGAAGGAGAGGTCGCCTCCATCGGGGACACGCCCTGCTCCAGGGTGGAGGGGGGCAGAGGGGTCCGTGTGCCCAGCCAGGCGCCCCCGGTCCGGAACCATGAGAACCAGCCAAGACGCTCAGGCCAGCAGGCAGGCGCCTGCACCGCTTGCTGCCCTCGAGCGTGGGTCCCGCCCCGGCCCCGACCCCCTGCCTCCCATCAGGGCAGCGGCCCCGCTCGTGGATGGAGCCAGGCATCCCCCAGCATGCACACTCACACCCTCAGTGACAAGTGCTTTTATTCTTAATGGCGTTCAACCCATTTGATTCCATTTCAAATCTAACAGTCCACGGATACGTGCCCATTGCCAAGACGTGGACAAAAGGTGCGGGAAGCTGGTGCCCACAGCTCTGCCCATGGGCAGGTCAGGGAGAAGCAGGAGGGGAAGGGCTGTCTGCACCCCCCCCCCAGCGGAGGCAGGCCTGCAGCCCCCTCCGCACCCCACCCGCACTTGCTGCTTCAGGTCTGACCCCCTGTGGACACCCCTGCCCATTCTCCCTGGACTGTGAGTCCTGTGGCTAGAAGCCTGGGCCCGGCCCCGAACTCGCGAGGCTGGAGGACCTGCAGAGGCGACCGAGGCGCGTGGGGAGGACCCCGGCACCTAGCAGGACCTGCTGTGTGCGCCCCCGCCCCCGGCCCCGGGAGCTACTCACTGAAGTAGAAGCCGCGGTCCCCACAGACAAACTGGAGGGTGTCCACCAGCTCCCCGCCGCACAGGGTCTCGCTGGGGCGGTAAGCAGCATAGCAGCACGAGGCGAAGGCCAAGAAGGTGAGAAGCGCCAGCACCGACTTCCCCGCTGAGATCCCCATTGATGATGACTGCGGGAGAGGCGAGGGTGAGCGCCCGCACCGCCAGCCCAGCCGGCCCGCCCTCCGCAGGGACCTGCCCGCCGCTCCCTTTGGGACCCTAAGCCCAGCCACCGCCTAAGTCCAAGTCCAGCTGCAGATGTGAAGCCTGGCTTTCTCCTTAATCTTAATTGCTTTAATTACAGGAACAACAAGAGCTTTCTCTGTTGAGGCTGGTGGGATGCAGAATCACCCCACGAGGAGGGCAGGGCCGGGGGTGGAGCCTCTCTGATGGGCACCAGTAACTTCACGTGGGGATCACTGTCCCCCTCGTATTATTGCTGAGGCTTGGCCACACCCAGAGCGGCAGGGGCCAGTGCTGGACACTGGACCTGGCCTCCATCCTATGAAGTCATGGGGGCGGGGCCGGCACAAGGCAGTGGCCACTTCTTGGGCCTCCCTGCACCAGCCAAGATGGCAGACGGCCCCACCCCGGCACAGAACATGTGCATCCCAGAGGACCAGCCCGGCAAGGGCGCCAGGAGGACCAGCCGCCCTCCCCAGGCAACAGCGGGGGTCCCGGCCCCAAGCCTCTCCCTCCAACACAGCCTTTCCCAACCTTGAGCAAAGGTCAAGGGTCTGGTGGTTGACACGGGGTGCCAGCCATGCTCCCGGGAGCCTCGTTCTCCGGCATCACCTAGTTCCCAGACCCCAGTCTTCCCTCGGGTCCCCAAAACACACATGAAAACCAAAAGCCTCCTTTCCAGGCCTCGCATCGCACTCCCAATGGCCAGGGGCCTCAAAGTCCTTCCAGGAACACCAGAGCCGCTCCCCTCTTGGGATGCCAAACCCCACCCGGAGAGCTGAAGAGAGCAAGTCAGGCCCCTCCGGGGGGCCAGACACCAAGTCCCTTCAGGGCCGATCTCGGGAAAGAGACACACCTCAGGACACACCCCCTCACAAGGCTGCAAGGCTGCAGACTGGGGTAAATAGGCCCTGTAAAGGGGAAGGACCGTGGCTTCCCTTGAGACACAGCAAGCCACTTCCGCCTGTCCAAAAGGTGGAAGCCCCCCAGGCAGGCAGGCCGAGCCATGAGCCCCTTCTGGGAGGACAGTCACGGCCCAGTGCCCCGGTCACCCTGAGGCTACTCAAGCAAGGGCCCAGGTGGGCTGCCCACACGCGTCCGTCCCAGACACTGCGCCCAGCGAACACAGGGCACCGAGCTGCACAGCCTTCCCAGCCTGGAGCAAGGTTGCTGCATGCTGGAATTTTGATGCAATAAATCGTGTAGGAAATGAGAGGACTGAGGAGGAAACTCAGTCTCGCTTAAGCTCCTGACAAGCAGGGGCCAGCTCCACGGAAGATCTAAACGGCCAGCTCGCCCACCGCCCCTGGCTGGGCGAAACCCCAGCCTGTTTCCTTGCTGCCCCACCGCCGCCCCCTCCAAATTCTGAAAGCAAATTTAGCCAGCTAGGAATTCCTGCTGTCCAAGCGGCAACTCCATCTTTCTGCAAGCCCAGCCACTTGGTGTGGGGTCCAGTTCCTCCTCTCCTGCACCCCCAACCGCTAGCCCAAGCGTCTCTTAGCAAAGTACCAGGGCGGGGGAGGGGGGCTCCTCCTGCACCCCCAGCCCATCTCGGCACAAGGAAATGGGGGGGGGGAGGTTCCGGAGGGGGTTGCTTTCCACCTCCTTGTATGGAAACTTCCATCTGCCCACGGGGGCAGGGGCAGTTACCCTCTCCGGACGGTCCATTCCGGGCCCCTCTGAGCCCTGGACCAGCCCCCCCTCCACCCGGATTCCTGGTTGGAAATGTCGGGGACCGAGAGAGGGAGGCGGTGGGGGGGGGGGCGCCGAGGGAATGTGGCGTCTGGCAGGATTCTCTTGCCAACTCGGCCCCCCTCGCTCCATCCTGGCCCCGCCCACCCAGTTTTCCTCTCTCGGTCTTGCTGGCAAGGAGTCAACATACCAGGGTGGGTTTCTGAGATTTGCGCCCCTTCTCATTACACGGCCGCCGCCCCCTCCCCCCGCCACGCCCGCCCTTGCCCCCGCACGGCACAAATCACAAACTTTGAGTAACAGCCCTCTGCACCCGCAAGGCGACCAGGAAGTCGCCGTGCACAGAGCTCACACCTCCCCCGGCGCTCCCCAAGTCCCTCCCCCGCCCCCACCCCTCGCCCCTTCCTCCGCGGCGCAGGGGAGAGCGCGGGGTTCGCCCCAGGGGACGGGACCGCCAGCCCCCCAGCCTCGAATGCCCGGGCCCCGCCGCCCCGCCGGGCCAGGCCCGCACGCCGCTTACCTGAAAGCCGGCACGGGGCCGCCCACCTTCCTGCTGCGTATTGCAAACCGAACAGCGGGCGAAGGCCCTCCTGCCGGACACTCCTCTGCCAGCGCCGCTCTGGCCGAGTCGCGGGGGCCGAATGTGCGACGGGGCAGAACGGGGGGATGGCTTTTTTTTGGGGGGGGGGGATAAATTCTCTCTGATTCTTTAGGGAGGACGGGCTGTCTGCGGGCCGGGGCGGGCCAGATGTTGTACTTTTAGGGGGGGAAAGGGTATCGGGAAATGAGGTCAGCTGTTGTATCAAGGACAGAGAGGGGCAGAGATAGTGAGAGAGACAGAGTGAACGTGAAAAGGGGGGGCCGAAGAGAGGGCGAGAGGGAGAGAGGACAGCGAGAGGCGGGCAGGCTCACAGCGGGAGAGAGCAGCGGAGAGAGAAACAGAAAGCGTATAATTAATCCACTTTGGGACGGCGAAGGCGAGAGGGCGGGCGTGGAAGGGGAGGGAGTTGGAGGCAAGGAGCTGGGGGGGACGGGAGGGAGCGAAGGGAAGGCTGCGGAAGAAGACGGGGGGCCGGGACCAGAGGCCGGAGAGGGGCCGGGGAGCGCAGAGAAGCCGAGGAAAGGGCGCAACGTCGGGGGCCGGGGAAGGTGCTGAGGGGGGCGGAGCGGAGGCGTCACCCGGGCCGCGGGCGCCCAGCTCGGCTTGGGCCGACGGAGCCCTCGGCCGTCGCAAGCCCGGGCCTCGGGGGGGTGGCGGTGGCGGTTTGAGGTAGACGAAGAGGAGGCGGCGGGGGATCCGCAGGCCGGCGGAGCCCGGCCCCGCCGACGGCGCCCGAGATGGGGGTCAGCAGCGTAGCGGGCTGCGCGCCGGGGAGGGCCGGAGGGGGGAGCGCGGGGGATGACAACGCCGGCGGCCTGCGAGCCGGACTGCCTGCGGGGGGGACCGCCTCCTCGGGCGAAGCGGGACGGGCGTTGAGGTAGACGAAGAGGAGGCGGCGGGGGATCCGCAGGCCGGCGGAGCCCGGCCCCGCCGACGGCGCCCGAGATGGGGGTCAGCAGCGTAGCGGACGGCGTCGACGCGGGACCGCCAGCCGGGTGGAGGCGCTGGCGGGCGAGGGCCAGGAGGCGAGGGCGGCCGGAAGGGGGGGCCGGGGGCCTGCCTGGCCTCACGCAGCTCCGCCGGAGAGCAGGCGAACTCTGGGCGCCAACGCCCGGCTCTTATAGTCGAGCCACCCGCGGCTCGGCGCCCGCTCGGGCCCCGCTGGCCGAGTGCCCGCGCCAATGGGCGCTCGAGGGGTCCTCGCCCCGCCCCCGGACCGCCTCTGCAACTCGAGCCAAGGGGGGGCCAGGCTTGGGGTCCCGGGGGGCAGCGGTGAGGGGGGGGCTGTGGGGTGCGCGGGGACGAGATTGGAGTGGGGGCAGGGATCCTCAGAGTTCGAAAGAAATCTAGAATCACTATTCTAAAGTGTGTGGGGGCCCTGTCTGAGGTTCCGGGGTGCCAGAGTCCCTACATAGTACACGGGGGACGCAGGACGACCAGGGTGGGCGGCGTCACATGCCCTAGCGACGGCCGGATCCCCGCGCCCCACCGGGGGGCTAGGCGGCGGGGGTGCCCTGTGTGTGCGGGCACAGGTGGCGGTCCCCCCCCCCCAGACCCGCCGGGACCTGCTGGAGAAGCGGGGAGTCTCTGGGCTCGGGCGAGGCGCGCAGTCTCCACCTGCCCGAGCAGGCACAGCACCTCACCTCGAGCTGCAGCCGGAGCCCGAGCGCCCCCCGGTGCCGCGCGGGAACTGGGGAGTAGCCTCGGCGGACGCCAGGTGCGGTACGTGGAGAGGGCCAGCCCGGCCAGGCCCGAGTCTGGGCCAGGCATGGGGCCGGCCCGGGCTGCGCCCTTGTGCCAGGGGCGAGACGAGCAGGGCGGGAAACGTCGTTCAAATCCTACCTGCATGACCGAGCTCACCGGGGTGCGTCTAAGCAGCTCGCCTTTGGGGCCCACCCAAAATATCCGGATAATGGTTCCCCCGTCCTCTATGCGCTGGACTTGCGTAGATTCGGGTTCAGCCCCGGGGGCCACCACGGTCACTTGAGGGTCTGGGGAAACCATCTCCTAGAGGGTTTGGACGATGTAAGAAGTCGGTGTGATTTTTTTTTTTTTAACCAAGTCAAAACCACGCACGAGTCCCCGCGCCCCACCCGCCCAGGAGCCCCGACCACGCGCGCCCCTCCAAGGGGAAGGGGCAGCCGGCGGCGGAAGCCCGAGTCCAGCTCGCCCCCTCGCTCCGCCATCAATCACGTCTCCCGCGCTCGGCGCGCGCCTACCCTAGTCCTCCGCCCGGCGGCTGGAGGCGCCCGGGCGGCTGGAGGCGCCGCGCCGCCTGAGCGGGGGTGCGCCTCTCCTCCGCGTCGCTCCTGCCCTGCGCCCTGCGGGCCCCGCTTGGAGGTCGCCGAGGCGCTTTCCCCCCGTTGTGATCTTTGCACAGAGCAAAGGAAAGCGGCGCGGGTCCTCGGGGCCCGACCCAACGCGCGGGGCGGCCGAGGGGTTGGCCCGCCGCACGGCTCCCGCGCCCCGTGCCGCTGTCCCCGGCAGCCGCTCGGGACGGCGGGACGGCGGCGGGTGGGTTTGGGAGCCAGGCCGGGACGCGAAGCGGCGGGGAGCTCACCGCGAGGCTGAAGGCCGAGGCTGCGTCCGCGGGCGCGGAGGAGTCGAGGCAGCGAGAGAGCGCTCTACGACGAGCGGTGGACGCGCAGAAGGTGAGCAAGACCCCGGGGGCAGTCCCCAGTGTCCGGGGGCAACGCCCAGTCCGTTGGAAGACCCGGGGACAATGCCCAAATTTGGGGGAAACTGGGGGCAATGCCCAGTCGTTCTCCTGGACGCGGGAGAAGCCCTGCCTACGTCCTGGCGGACACACTGCCCGATCGAGTGTGTGTGGGGAGGGCGAGAGAAACTTCCCGCATCCGAGGAGCTCCGGGGACTTCGTAGCAGACGCGGAGAGGCCCAGAACCGGTGCGCGCGGGGCGCGGGGCTACGGAAGCTGCAGAGACCGCGCTGGGGCCGGGAGCAATGCCCAACTGCCGGAACGCAGTGCGGAGCCGCCTGGTTTGCAAGAAAGAGAACGAAGGTCCTGAAGCGGGGACCCAAGGGAGGGTGCGTCGGGGACTCCAGAAAAAGAACCAGAAAAAGAACCCGAGTCTGGGGGCCGTGGAGGCTGCTCCGTGCAGCCGGGGGACAGGGGAGCCGAGTCTACACTGTGAGGACCCGGGCATGTAGGTCAGCAGGCTTGTGGGACAGCCCCATTTGTAGGGCAGTAGGTCTGCGGATGACCATGACCGGAGCAAAATTCTCCGGGTGAAACTTGGGAGGTTCCAAAAGGGCAAAGGGTCTAAAATTCGGGGAAGAAAAACAGTGGGTGGGTCTTGGGGATCCAAGTGCGGTGGAGAAGAGTGGAGAATCATTTCCAAGATTTAGAAATTCAGGTTAGTGGACGCTTGCAGCGCCCGAGCAAAGTAACTTCCATAATTGTTGTGGCTTCTGGGAAAATTCTCAATGTCCTTGAGAAACTCAAGAAACACGATCTAAATTTGGGGCAACCTGGGGTGTGATCAATACATTTGGAGAAGGCGGGAAATCAATATCTTTTTAATATTTTAATTTTTAAATTGGTTTTGATTAGTTTATTTTTGGTGAACAGGAAAAAAAATATTTTCCTGGGCACTGTCTGCATTTGGCGACCCCCTAGGAAGATATGGCCCAAGTGTGGGGGATCCATGGAAATTGTTCAGTAGAGACATATCTAAATTTCAGGGAACCTGGTTAATAGCAAGGAATCTTGTAGGACGTAGGCCTGTGATACCTGAGATTTCCAGGACCTGGGGGTATTTTTCGCTATCTGGGCAATTTCATTTTGGGAGGCCTGTGGAAAATTGCCTAAATTTAGGAGGACTCAGGGTAAGTAAGGATCATAAAATCAGGGGACCCATAAATCAATGTTCAAAAAAGTTCAGTTGTTTTGTGGAGAAGGGAAAAAAAGTCTCAGTTTATTTTGAAGGGCTAGCAGGCAGCATCACAATTCAGAGGCCCCAGAAAATAATTTTTGAATCTGGGGATCCAAAGAAGTCTTTCAAAGTCCCCAGGAGAACAGAGGGTCAATATCGAAGTTTTAGGGGGAAAGGATTAAGAATTCCTAGGCGGTGGGGCCTGGTGGTCTACGGAAGATTGGCAGTGTCTGAGACCCAGGAAATGTTGACTGAATTTGGGGTGACTCAGTGAGTGCCTGGAGAAATGCTTTGGGCCCGAGAAATCAGTGCCTTTCTGTGGCATTGCACGTGTCTGGGGAGCTTAGAGAGGGTGATGCCCAATGTTGAGAGTCCACTGTGTCCACACACAGGGCACCGGGAAAAGGTCCAGTCGGTTGCCCTGGAATTTGGGATCAGTTCTGAATTTTAGGAAACCCGGATTCTTGTCAGTAAGCTTGTGGGGCCCAGGGAATTTTTTAATATTCAGAATGTTATGAGGCGGAGAAAATATTCAGAATATTTGGTTACTGGGACACTCAAAAGAGCTTGGTAAAACAAGATACAGGCTCTGTGCAAGCGTTTGTTTTGTGCTTGGCTTGACCCGGAGGACCTGAGAGATGTGTGATTTGGGGGGACGGGTCTGACCCACGGTCACAACGGATGAGTGCTGTGTGTTTGGGGGCCTGGGTAACAGTGTCTAAATGTCAAGGAACCTGACTAGTGGCAAGGAAGCTTGGAGAGCCCCAGAAATGAATGCCCCATGTCTTTATGACCCACGAAAAAAATTGCTCAGTGAGTTCTGGGGGCCAGAAACCATCTTCTCAATTTTGTGGAACTCAGGAAATCAGAGCACAGACTGTTTATGATTCAAAAAGAGGGTCACTGTGCTTTGGGTTTAATGCATAAATTTTGGTGAGGCGTAGGCAGCAACCTTCCAACTCTGAGGGTTCTGGGGAAATTGATCAGTCTGTTGCGAGGGGGTGGCAGGGGTGGGGGGACCTGGAATTCTTTACCTAAAATTTAGGGAACTCAGATTGGGGCCAATAAATTTGTGGAACTCAGCAGATTATGTCCTAAACTCTAATGAAGCGGAGGAACAGGGCTTCGGCAAGGGGGAGCCGGGACAGGGGCAGTAAGCTTGGGAGCCCCTGTCGACCAAAATTATGGGGACACAGGAAAAGAGTCCTGTTCTTTGGGAAAGATGCCTTAATGCCAAAAAAACACCGTGTTCATCCTGGGGAGTCAGCTTGAGCCCAGGACCTGGAGTTAATGTTTAAATTTTTCTGAATAGGGTTTGGCACTGTGTAACTCCGTAGGACCTGGGGGTGGGGGTCGGGGTGAGGGTGGGGGAGGGGGGTACAGTAAAACTGTAAGGAGCCTGGGTGGGAGAAAGCACCCAGTAAGTGTGGGGACCCAGGTCACCAGTGTAAACCTGGAAAAGCCAGTAGGGGCTTATGTGTTTTCAGGTCCCCAGAAATTAATGTCAAGAAAAGAAGAAAAAAATCCTGTGACTTGGGGAAATGCTGAATGTATTGGGGGAGATCAGGGAGGAAATCTTAAATTTTAAAAAGCCCAGAAAAAATAAAAATAAAATAACGTCTGCCCTCAGGAGGAGCGGGGGATGTGGCTCCGTGAGCTGGGACCCTGGGGATGGAGAGCTTCGTTTGGCAGGCTGAGCTCCGGCCAGGGAATCACCGCGCCGCTGCGGATCCACTGACCCGGGGACTCGCGTGGAGCGGCGGCGCCCTCCCCGGGGATCGGGGCGCGGGCTGCGCGCAGCGGCGGCGGCTCCAGGGCGGCACGCGGGGCTCCCTGGGACGCCCGCCGCCCCGGCGGGGCTGGCACGTCGTCGCTTCTCCCGATTTTGCCTCCTCGCCCCTGAGAGCGCTTCCGTGCGGCAGCGCGTCGGGTGAAAGGGAGGCACGCCGGGGCGGTGGGGGAGCGACGGGGCGCTGCTCCCTGGCTTTCCGGGGGGCTCTGGGCTCCCCGCTCGGCTGCCTCCGAGGAGGCCCGCGGGCTCCCCGCCGCCGCCGCGCCCCACGCGCTCCGCTCTGCGAGCCTAGGCGAAGCCGCGGCCCGGCGACCGCCGCAGGCAGGCTCGTCCCCGGCTCGGTTTGGGGGGCCCCGGAGCACCCCCGGCGGCCGTGCCCGCTCACCCCCGGCGCTCCATGAGCGCCGTCCGGGCCTTCTCGGGCCCCTCGACGAGGGCGAACCCAATTTTGTTTTGATAACGCGAGAGAGTTGAAGGACTAGGGAAGAGGAGGAGAATGTGGGGCGGGGGGAGACAGGACTGATGGTGGCGGGGGTCAGGGGTCTCCTTTCGTTTTCTCTAAGAGAATGTTCACGGCAAGCCTCCCTCTCCCGGCTGTGAAAGTCTCGTTCCTTAAGGCAAACAAGAGGAACGCTGAACCCTGCCCAGCCCCAGCACTGGTGGGAACCGGATCACCCCTTCGGAATTAGACGGTGTTCTGGGTGGGGGGCGGCTGCCTCCTGCGCATCTGTGGGTTTTGGTGTTGCCAGCGAGGGGGTGCTGCTGGGGGCAGCAGGACGATGGGCCTCAGGACCAGCTCACCAGCCGCTACCTGTCCCCATGGTCACCCCACAAAGGGACCCTAGCTAGAAAGGGGGCATCCCAAAGCCTGACCTTCTGGAGAGGCAGGGGTTAATGCCCTTGGACAGGTGTGGGGACTGGGCAGGGCTGAGGCAGCTCTTTCAGAGCAGTTTGGCAAGACGGGGAGGACCCCCCCACACCATGAAAAAAGCAGCCCACTTTCCACCCGGAGCCCAAGGCACGTGGGGAATGTTCCCCCTTCAAATTCCAGTCCACATCAATCACCCCGTGTCCATTCCAAGAACATCTGGCCTGTCTCCCCCCACCCATCACTGCCCCGCTCCCTCCCCACCAGCCTTCTGCAGTCCCAGGCCCCAGCGTCAGGCCTGCGCCTATGGAAGGGAGGGTGAGGAGGGGGCTCCCCGGGAAGCCTGGCAGGGTGGCTGCCCAGTCTTCAGCAGCTTGTGCATTTGGGGGTGAGGAGTGTTTTTAAAGTGTCTGTCTGCAGACCTCAGCTCCCTGGGACCCCAGAGCGGGTGAGGGTCTCCGCTTCCCTGGCCCTGCTCCGGGCTCCCCACCTCTCCTCCAGGCCTGCTTCCCAGGCTGGGGGCGGCAGGGGCTGGGGTGAGGTGTGTGTCCGTGGGGCTTTCTGGGTGTCTTCATGCTGGGGGGTGTGCCCTTTGGGGACCCTTCCCTGTTTTCAGTCTGGAACAGGCGCCAGCCTGGAGAAGCTGCGGCCCGGTGCTTGGAGACACGTGCCTGGACCTTGGAGGTAGGAAGGCAGAGGCCACCCTGGGGTGCTGGCCCCGGCCACGGGCGGGGGGGGGGGGGGGCACAGAGGCACTTCCTGAGCACGCTTAGCCCGCGCCTCACTTAGTCACCAGTGCAGCTAAAGGGGCAGGGTTGTGGGGGGCAGACCCAGGTCACCGTGGGGCTCAGAATGGGCACTGGCCACCCCCAGCCGGGACCAGCCACCCAGGTCGCCCCAACTTCTGGTCCCCCACCACAGTAGGAAGGGCACAGCCCTGGTATGTTGTGGGACTGGGGTCTCCGCCAGCACAGGGCTTGGCTGGTGGGAACTTCGACCCCAAGCACCATCACCTGCCCCTCCCTCCTGCTCTGCAGCAGCCCTGGTTCCCCCACTGATGTGCCAGCCGTATTCCAAGAGGACAGTCTTCCCCGGAGATTCGGACTCACCCCAGGAAGCCCAGCCCCGCGCCCCGACCTGGCTCCAGGCTCTGGCTCTGCGGCGGCTCCCTGCTCCCGCTTGCCCTGCAGCCTGCCTTCCCTTTCCCCGCTTCCTCCCCTGGCTCTGGCTCAGAGCTGGCCGCTCCCCACCTCCCTGGGACCAAGCCCAGCATTCTACAAACCCAGCTCATTCTCCAGGAGTCCCCTGAGCGCCCCCTTCCTCAGCCCCCACAGGGCGCCGGCGCCGCCGGGGGTGAGGACCCGGCACTGGATGCCTGACGGGATGCGCCTGCTCCCAGCAGCGGGGCTGGAAGCCCGGGGACCCAGGCCCCAGCTGGACGGAACGCCAGGACCCGACAATGGCACAAGCCACCCCGGCCCCAGGCACCACCAGCCCCTGATCAACAGACCAACGTCGGCGGTGTGGAGGAGTGTGGGGTACCGGCCCCGAAGCTGCAAGGGCCCAGGCGTGGCCACTGTTGTACCATTCTGTGTAGCATCTGAACTAAAGACACCTTTGAAAAACATTCTCAGTCTCTCTCTTTCTCTCCGGCAGGCAAATTGGCCTGCAAGGGGGCACCTGCTGGGTCCCCCACGGCAGGCCCTGAAGAGTGACCTCCGTGGCTTTGGGGTCAGGACTGGGAACACAGCCCCCATCCTCCGCTTCTAGAGAGACCCTGGAGCAATTCCCGCTCTGGGGCAGCTCAGCCTGTTGCCCCCACCCCGGCTCCATCCAGCAGCGTCAGAGGAGGCTCTGGCTGCCCCCCGGCCTTTCCAGCGTCCCCTTCGTCCCCCAAGGCACACACAGGAAGCCTCATTCTGCCACACAGTAACCACCAGCTCTGTGACTGTCCCCTTGCTTTGACAGATGGGGACACAGAGAGGTCAAACCACCCGTGTGAGGCCCCACAGCAGCGGCCCAGGGCAGGGAGGGCCGAGTCCGGCATGCCCAGCTGAGCCCAGCCTTCTGGGGGCCTCCCAGGATTCCTCCCCAACTTGCTGGAGATACCTGCCTGCACGCTCCTTCCTCCAGTTCTGTCCTCACCCGTCACCCTTGCTTCTCCCCTGGGCTGCCCCCCTCCCCGTCCCTCTGTCTTTCTACCAGGAGTCCCCCTCTGAGGACCACGCTGCCCAGGGGGCAGGGGGCCTGCTCTGCCTGCAGCTGAGCCCCCAAGAGCCGACCATCTGAACCCCAGATTCCAGCTGTGTCACCCTGATACGAACCCAGCCCCCTGGAGGCTCCACTCTGTGAAAGGGGTGATGGCAACGGGAGCTTCCCGAGGTGGGACTCTGAGCCCTGGAGGACAGCAGGCCACTGTCCAGAGCCTGCGGCACGCAGTCCTGCCTGGGGGTGTCCGGAGCACTCACCTCTGAGGGCTGGGGCCGCTGGCCTCGGTTCTGAGCGGGTGGGGATCGGGAGCCACAGGTCACAGCAGCTGACCTCTGGGCTGGGGTTTCTGGCCGGCTGCAGGCTCTGGCCAGGGGGCAGCCTGGGCAAAGGGCTGACCTGGCGTGGGTGTGGGGCCCTGGGGCTGGGAGCCGGAGGCCACCTTCTCTTCCTCAAGTTCAGCAGCGACTCTTTGTCCCCTGGGGGAGAGCAGAGGGGTGTTCCTAAGACGGTGTCTTTTAAAACAAATCCACACGCGTGCACACACACACACCCAGCCAGGGCCCTGGCCCCTGCCCCTCCACTGGCTGTCAGGCGGAGAGGCCCTCGGGTCACCTTGTCAGGGTTTGGGTGATAGCTCCCCTGTCTGTCCCTCTGGCTCCCCAGCGCTGCCTTTTCTGAAGAAGGGAGGGGGAAACGTGTCCACAGCTCACCAGAGCTGGGCTTCCCTGAGGCCAGGCCTGCAGAGGGTCCCACGGAGCAACTGGAGACATGTCCGTGGGACAGGCTGCCCCTCCCTGCGGCGGACTTCTGCCTGAGCTTCGGGGCTAGTGGCCACACACAGACAGCCTGCCTCGGGGGTCACAGCACACAACATAACTCCCCCCTCTGCCCCACCACATTCCCACCTCGAATGGAAGCAAGGAGGGAGCCAGGCACACACAGCTCTGCCATGGGAAGGCAGCTGAGGGTGGTGGGAGACTGCGCTCCTCTGGGGAAATGAACCGCTTCCCCACATACGACACAGGGGAGTCTGGGTGGAGGAGGGGCACACTCCATGCCCAAAACAAAAGCCACCCAGGGCATGGGAGGCTGGGAGGGGGTCCAGGGCAGCTGTCAGCAGGAGAGAGGCCTTCCTCTTTAGACTCTGCTCCGGGACCCCAAGGGGCAGCACCCCTCCTGGTCCTTCTCACCATCCTCTCCAATTACACGGTGGGATTCTCTGGGGGAGGGGCGGTGTAGGGAGTGGGGAGAGAGGGGGTATAGAAAAAAACTCCCAAACCTCAGAGCCTCAGCCCCGCTGCAGCATCCTGCTTGTCTCTGGTTGGGATTGGGGAAGGCGGGGCGCAGCCAGAGGGAACCTCTCACACAGGAAAATCCTTTTACTTTTCCAAAAGCAGCTGTGCCCTCACGCAGAAGACAGCGGCCCTACGCTCCAGCCCACCCCTCCCATTTTGCCAGCTCAGTGAAGGAAAACGTATTTCCCATGCAAAAGCCCCTGTGGCTCTGGGCAGCTCCCCTGAGGGGTCCGCTTCCAACCTGTCCTGTCCCCTCCAAAGTGGGAGCTCGCCTGAGCCCTCTGGTAGCACGGGCCCCCCCCTCCTGTTAACTGCCCCCCGCCCACTGCTCCCTGAGCCTCTGAAGGCAGTTTCTTAGCACCCAGAGGGACGCGTGCGAGGGAGGGGAGCCCAGGCACCTGCGCTGTAACCGCTGCGTTGCCCCCAAAGCTCCCGGGCAGTGGGTAAAGAGGACCGGGAAGCCACTGATGCCCCAGGCTCTCTGTGGGAACTGCCGGGCAGGTGATCTGCTGTCCGGGCCAATAGTAGCGGTCGCCGCCAAGGCAGGGGGGGCTCTGGCTGTGGTGCTCAGACCCTCCAGCGGGCTCGACTGGGAGGCAGAGGAGGGGGATGAGGCTGAGGCTGGAGAGACGGTGAAGGGTACTTTGAGAGCGTGCATTGTAATGGCCCCCAGAAGATGAGCCTGTCCACCATGGAGCGCCTGCCCAAATGCCAACAGGGTCTATAGTGTGCCTCTCACCTCATCCCCACCCCATACCGCTCCCCAAGCCCCTCCAAATTTAGGCAGCATTGCGCCAACTTGGTGGTGCTGGGCCTGCTGGAGCAGCTGGCTCTGGCGCCTTCCCACGTGAGGGCATCGGGGGGTGAAGATGTGGCCCACCTTTAGCCTGGCAGAAAGGTGTTAGTGGGCATGGGCATTAGCCTCAAGTACTCGCTGCCAGCTGGGAGGTGGGGCTTTGTCGAGGGGGGTGGAGGGTGGGCGGGTCCTCCCTTGATTGACCCCCCCCCCTGGAGCCTTCAGCTAGAGCAGGAGGCAGGCAAAGGTGCGTCCGGAGGCAAAGGTGTGTGTGGCTCCCTGCAGGTCGCTGGTCCCCACCCTCCCTGTGTCCCCATGCCCCAGCCTGCGAGCCTGGGCTAGCGTTTAATTCTCTCCCCTCCCTTCATCTTTCAAGCCCTCATCTAAACTCCCTTCTTAGCTGGAGGGATAGGCCATCTGATAGGAGGACAGGGCTTTCAGTGGGGCGGAGAGTCAGACTTGGGGTTGGGGGGACTCAGATCTGGTGGGAGTGTCCTAAACAAGATGCAGACGTCCCAGAGCCATGCCATCCTCTGGGCTCTTGGGCAAGAGAGGAATGCAAGGGTGCTAGAGGTCCTGAGTCAGGCCCATCTCACACAGAGGGGAGTCAGTGTGTGAAGCACCTCGCAATTTTGGGGGTGCAGCAGTCACTTGCTCATGCCACTCTGGCCCTGTCTGGGGACTCTGTGGCTTAGAGTTTTCACAGCCTGTGCCACACACCCCCACCCCCTGGTGTCTGCTGCAAGATGCCCAGATGTCACAAGGGAGCTCCTTGCCAATCCATACGGGAAGCCTTAGTTGGGGCTTCCCACGACTAAGGTGGGGCCAGTGAGGGGGAAAGGCTGACCACATGCCAGATAATGAGGCTGCATGAGAGGCCCACCAAGGGGGGTGTCCCCGAACTGAGAAGGTGGGGGCCCCCCTGGTGGTCCAGGGGTGAAGACTTCGCCTTCCAGTGCAAGGCTTGCGGGTGCAGTCCCCGGTCAGGGGAACTAAGATCCCACATGCCTCAAGGCCAAAAGACCAAACGCATTAAACAGAAGTAATATTGTAACAAATTCAAGAAAGACCAAAAAAAAAAAAAAAAAAGGAATCAAGAAGGTGGGCAGCTAAGGGGCTGAAAGGGGAGAAGCATCTCAGACCCACAGATCTAACTCCTGGAAATGGGGGACCCCCACCCCTAAACCAATGCATTGGATCTGAGCCCTGCCCCTAGTCCAGATCCCTGTTTCTGACACAGCCCCAGAGGGGACCACACCCGTGCAGGGCGATTTCACTCCATCAGAACCGTGAACCCCAGAGTGTTTAAGCAAAGAAGGGGGAGCAGAGAAAGGGGCTCGGGGTGGGGAGGCCCCCGGGAGGACCGACCACAGCTTGGTGCCGCTGAGGCAGGACTGGGGGCAAAGCGGCTGTGAGTGAGGGTTGTGACCTTCAGTTTGACCTACTTACCATCCAAGGTCTACGGGGAGACAACGCAGTGGGACGGAAGAGGCGCATTTGGGGTGCCAGGGACACCTCATGACATAAGCCTTGTTGCCCCACTGTCTCTTAGGCCTGGGAGGGGGTTACCCCGGCCTAGGGTTCTGGTCAAATCCTGTTTATGCAGGAGAGACTTGGGAGACTCTTAGAAAGCCCCCGCTGCAAGCTGCCTCCCTTTGGCGGCTTAAGTGGCCTCATGCTGACACCTGGTGGCCACTTCTAGAGTTACAGCGCACGCCCGGAAGGTCTTGAGCGGTGACTTCCCACAGGGACGAGCCTGCACTGCTGGGTTCAGGTGGGCTCTGCACCTTTGCATCGGACCTGAGGCTCTCATCAGCCCCCGCCCTGGCATTACAGAACCGATGGTGGAGGGAGGTCCTGTGGGAAGGTGGGTGACCCAAGCACCGCTGAGCCCAGGACGCCTTCCTGAAGCATCCACCGTGTTCTGAGAATTAGAGAAAACTGCATTATGTTTATACCTGAATACAATCCGTCAGATTACTGAAAGGCTCTAGAGCAGGGTGCTCGGGGCCGCTCCCCCCAGCCCGCCCCCAGTCCCGTCCTCGGGAAGGGTCCCGGAAACCAGTGGGGGCGGCAGTGGGGGGCTTACTCTGTGCCTGACTCCCGGGCCCTGCACAGCTTTCCAAACCTGACCCAAGCCTGACACCTCGTGGCCACATCGAGAAACCACAGCCTTATGAGAAAGCACCTGGGTATTGCCAGGAGGATAACAGAGGTGCCACCTCACCAAACCCAAGAGCAGGGGTAACTGAGCCCCCATCCTGAACTCACAGCTGTCCCAAGAGCCCCGCCCCGTCGGGAGGCCAGGCTGAGGCTGCCCCGGGCAGCGTGGAAACAGTGGGAGAACCGAGGGGTATCCCGGCCGGGAGGGGACGGGGCGGGAGGGGACTCGGAGGCTTCATGGGCGAGCCCGTTACCCCGGGGCCTCCGCGTCCCTCGGACCTCACAGGTGGACGCCCACAGGTCGGCGCCCAACCCAGCCCACCTACTGATAAAATACGTGTTTGTCATTGCTCATCATTATACTGTCTCAATGCGAAGGTATGTTTGCCCCTGACTCCCCTCACCACACGAGCATTCTTTCCTGGACGCTGGTAGCTGAGTCATGGCCAGGCTGGTCCTGGGACACCTGTCATCCCCCTCCACCCCCTGCAGGCGAAACCTGCCACCTGAGAGGGCCCTGGAGTTTGGGGGAGGGAGTCTGGCCCTGGTCCCGGGCACACAGGAGCCCCCAGGCCCGCTGGGATGCATGCTCCTTGCCCCAGCCAGCCCTCCACCTCATTTCAAAACAGGTGGGCCCCGCAGGCCCCCGAGCCCTGGGCCTCCTCCCTCGGGGGGCTGACCCGCCCGGCAGCCGTGCCCACGGGGCCCTGGTGGCCCTGGGACCTGCTCCTTTGCTGTGGAAGGAGGGTCAGCTGCCTCTTGCCTCTGCTGCCCGGAGGAGCAGAGGGCCCGCGGAGCTCTGAGGCCCAGAGAGGGGAAGAAAC